TACAGAAACGTAGTTTATTTTTTATGTAAATCTTTAGTTGCGGGCAGATACATGTCTTGACATACAAATAACCTAAACTTTTAGTTGATGTGGTTTCTTGAAAAAGATTGTATAAATTGAGGTGTTTCCCGCAATTTATGCTTATAACAAACTTTATCCAAATAATTATGAGGGATTTGGATCTTTTCCGCTACCAAAAAGGCCATTATCTTAATTATAGAGAACAAATCAGATGCCCACATGCGAGCGTGAGTTCTGATGCGATCCAAACTCTTAATTATATCTGTTCTAACACTCACCGCACTCTTATGAATTATACTACTTTCCTAATTTAGGCTCGAAGACAAATTACAATTATTCATTAAATAAATCAACAATTGTGATGTAGAGCGGTCTCCCCTATTAATTTTTAATGGTGGAGATGAATCCAATTGTGACGCTTGTTAACTATCCCAGACGGATCAAAAAAGGGTTGGATCTTGATCCGATTCCAACCCTACTAACTCCGGATTCGGGTGAACCTAATCTGAGCCAAGAGCATCAAATTCGGGATTAAAACCAAATGTACCCTAAACCTTTTAGTGCTAAGTATAAGGATTAGTGAAAAAAACATTAAGCGATTTCAAGAACTATAGAAGCAGAAGAATCACACCAGTAAACAATGTGAAAACATGAAAGAGTTTGCATACATGAACCCGTATAAATTTCGACTGCATGCGCATTGCACGGGCAGCAAAAGAGAAAGAAAATTAACCATGCATGAAGTTTATATTGAATTATTGATGACGAAGAAAAACAAGCAAAACAAACAAAAAGATACAATGCGGTAAGAAAATTTACCTATGTCTGCGGGAGCTCCCACGAGAGTAATTTTTTCAGACGGTCCTAATTTTTCTTGGAAAGTTTTTTTCTCTTCAGTTTATAGAGAATCTCTCAAGTAGTGTATTTAAACGTTTTTCTTTCCTATTCCGAGTTAGAAAAGGATTCCTATCCCCGATCAAATTCTTGATTACGATTATTCTAATTCTAATTCTTTTCTGATTGGAATTGCTCTAAAATAATCAACACATTTGAATTAAAAACAATAAAAGCCCAACCTTAAATAAGCACGTATTAAGTAAAATATTAAATAATAAAATGTTAAAGGGTGGGGGAAAAAATTCAAACATATCAATATGAATTGTAGTTCAAGGTTGAGCTTAGGGATGAATCAAGTGTTGGATATTCATGCCTGAGTATGGTCTTATATAGGAAAAAGATACGAAAGAGTGATATGTTTAACAAGGATTTGGGAACAAAACCTAACAAGTAACAACTTAAGCTTTTGGGTTAAAATAAATTTCTAATCTCTGTTTAAAAGTCAATCAACTCTTAATTGGGCCAGATTACTCCCCAGTAAATAGTATTTAATATAAGGTTACGGCTCAACTAAAAAGGTGACTTCTAATGTGAAGCACGAAGACGTTGGGAGAATGACAAAGGTCAGAAAAATCCAAGCTAAACCAAGTCAGGTTAACCAGTGGATGATCCTATAGATGTGGTTAGCCCCACAAGTGGTGGAAGATCTTATAGATGTGGTTGATGTTTTAGTATAAGTTAATGAATCTCGTGACGTATTGGACTATACTCACAAGTGATTGTTAGATATTCATGTGTGGATTTAAATAGGAGTTGTGATTAATACCTAACAGCTTAACCTTTTAGGTTAAAATTAGTTCACTATCTTTGTTTAAAGCCACTAACTCTTGTCACTTTCACTTTCCATGACTGCACCAATAAGCGTGCCACCTCAACTTTCCATCTTTTAATTTCAATCATCTAAATAAGATTTGCAGTAAAAATCAAAAGGAATTCATCTTCTACTTTTCTATCCACTTTTGAATTGCTAAACAAGACTTATATAAGGGTATATAGCACATAAATATATGCAATTTCTGATAGTTTTTTTTTATAACGAAGCATGAAACCGGATCCATACGAGCCATGTTCAAATCTTCCAACCCTCAGAGTCACTTGCAATGAGTGTAGTTTCTGATAGTTGAAAGGAAGAAAATAGGGGAAAGGTAGTTCGTGATCAAATAAAAAAATTCTAATCTTTTTATCAGCAACTTGTAATTCTACATGCTGGTATTTATCTTGACATAGAAAGAATCTAAACTTTTAGTTGATGTGGTTTCTTGGAAAAGATAAATATAGACAAAGGTGTCTTAAATCCATAATCTAAGCATTAAAACGATCGTAATAGGATGACTAACATGTACTCAAGTATTTTGAATATGGATCTGGACATTTCAATACAAAATCATATCCTACCGGTTATAAATTTAAGTAATCATATATGTATTCCAACGGATTCGGTTAGAAGAAATTTGCAAAATAGACTTATTTTGCTAAATATTTAGCAAAACAGACCGTTTTGCTAAATATTTAGCAAAATAGGTCTATTTTTTGTCAACAGGCAAAAAAGATGTCAATTTTGCAAAACAGACCATTTGAAACATACGGGACTAGTAGTCCCGTATGATTTAATGGGGATTAAATCATACGGGACTACTAGTCCCGTATGTTTCGAATGGTCTGTTTTGCAAAATCGACCTCTTTTTGGCCAACAAGCCAAAAAGAGGTTTATTTTGCTAAATATTTAGCAAAACGGTCTCTTTTGCTAAATATTTAGCAAAATAGGTCTAATTTCCAAAATTTTCCATTCGGTTATGGATATTTTCTCGAATATAGTTACGGTTTAGCAGCCCTACGCCAAACCTGACAAACTCCAGATTTGAGTGAACCTAGTCTGACCAAGAACATATAATTCTGGCAACGTTAATCTTAAAATAAAATATCCTAAATCTTTACTGCTGATCAAGTACAAGGATTAGAAAATATTAAGCAATTTCAAGAACTAAAGTAGAGCAATCACCGGTAAACATTATCAACATGAGGAATATTTTCCAGCCTCGTAATAATTAATTCAGAGCAGTGTGAAAACATGAACGAGCTTGAACACAAACTTGCACATAATTATTTTGCTTCTGGAAATCCACACCACACCGGCACACCCTTTATTTTTTTTATAAAAATTTTACTGCGTTTGCATTGCACGGGAAAGAAAGAAAAGCAATCTAGCATAAAATTTTATTGAATTATTGCCGACAAACAAACGAGCAAGCAAAAAAAAAAAAAAGAGAAAAAGAAAAAGAATAGACATAATGAGTTTGGAAAGTTACCTATATATGTCCACTGGAGCTCCAACAATCTTAATTTTTTGTTCGAATTTTCTTTATCTTTAGTTTATAAAGAATTTCTCCAGTTGTGTATTTAAACGTTTTTCTTTCCAATTCCGAGTTGGGAAAGGATATCTTCTCCTATCAAATTCTGATTATAATTATTCTAACACTAATTATTTTTTTTTCTAATTGGAATTGTCCTGACCCAATAATAACTCAGTGTTTCAAGTCAAACTGAACTTTCAATCATAGTCAAATTGGTATTTTAACTCAATTCTAAAGTAATCAACAATCTTGGATTAAAAGCCCATCCTTAAGTAAGCCCGTATTCAGTAAAAAGTAAATAATAGTTTATATATTTTTAGAGGAACTTGGTCACATTTGGGTCTTTATTTTGGGGCCTTGAAACATTTTTCCCTAAAAAGAAAGGGAACTAGTAAAAAAAATTTCAAGGTGTTTTTTTCAAGCAAACACGTTCTGAGACCTAAAATTTTGTCGAACTTACTGCAATGATATTAGATTGTAGTTCCAGGGTTCAGATCAATTTTATGAGCTGGATTCGACGTTAATTAGTTGATTTCTATTGCTAATCCCAAAGTTTAGGTAATATTGCTTGTATCTTAATAGACATATATACAAAGAAAATGTTATCCAACCCATGAGAAATTAGAGATAAAGGGATAATCATTGATATTCCTAAATATACCAAAAAATATTTGACCAAAATAATTAGAGGAACTATGAGTACCGTTTGCAAAGTAGTTACATTTTCCCGTGATCGTCAACGATCCAAATTAAAACTTGTCAACCTAAGAAGCATGAATATAGACATTATATTAAGCTTAATTTACCTCATATAATATTACATATTAAATTTGCAAGCTTTTTTTTTTTTTTGGGGGGGGGGGGGTTTTTA